CCCCAAAACCCCAAAACCCCAAAACCCCAAAACCCCGGAGAACAGAATAGACTCCCATATAAATTTTGAATTATTTAATTGAGAAGTTTATCTTAAATATATGGATAAGTAGAAATTATTCATGCATCTTCTTCCTCTCCTCCTTCTTCCTTTTTAGCTTTATCTGTATCTGGCTCTGGTTCTAATTCTGGAGCAATAAGTGGAGTAGGCTATAAGTTTGATAAATAATTTTGATATATCTTACCTCTGGTTGCTCAAGTTGATCTACTGGGTCTTTTTGAACATCAGGAGGCTCAGTTGGGTTGAAACTGACATCTCCTCTCTTAAGCCCGTGGCCGACATAGATGTTTGCAAATTTACCGTTTTGTGCAACAGTAATTGCTCCTGGCCACCTTAAGGATCTAAGAACATTCACTGAGTATGAAACCTATCCTTCTTTTGGGGGAAGTTAATTGTAAGGCTATATATCTCCAACTACTTTTGATAGCCAAGCGGTTTCAAGTCCAGGCATTGGGCCATCTTCATTCAAAGTTTTAAATCTCTCTAGTACTGGATCACTTTCTGCCAGCTTTCCCAAATACTCATCTTTTTCTTCTTCAGAAATATTTTAAGGTGGGAGATGAGAAACTCTACCAGCATGTAGAATGTTGGCATGCTGATGCGACCAACTTTCCAAACTCTTAATATCATCAGGGAAATTGAATTCTTCTGCATACTTTTCTTTTTACGACTCTTCATCGATTTCTAATAGACCCTTAGGAATGATCGAAGTAGCATGAGTTATTCTGGTTAGTTAAGCTCTCAATAAATGTCTTTCCTTGCCTGGGAATGGTGGGTTAGAATTCACACTAGCATTCAGATGACCAGTGAAAATGTATTTTATCATTTTTGCAACTTATATATGCTCTGGCATTGCATCTGGTAATTAAATCCAATCTTCAAGAAGGTTGTCAGTAACCCAAAATACTATCTTATTCACTCCTTCACCTCTCTTTTCTTAAGAATAATTTTTCTTTTCTTCCTCGGCTATATCAAGTATTCCTTCAACAATGAGATAATCTTTTTGACTTCCAAAGATTTTACCCCAGAATCTCAATCTGCTTGCTCCAGAAAGAAGAGCCAATCTTCTCAGTGATTTTTAAAGTCTATAGGTTTCATCTTCACCGAATGATATTCCAGCCCATTCAAAAAGTCTAGCTTCTTCGATGACATCTGGAATAACAAATTGATTATTGTCTTTTGAAATATGTTCTCTCTCATCTCTTGGTAGCAAATCAAGTGCCTATAATTTTTATATGAGTTTAAAGTTAATGTAGAAAATTGATATTTTAAGAATTATTAGTTACCTCTCTCAATAAAGATTTGCACTTGTTGATCCATTCAGTTTTTGTGATATTGGTTACTTAATGCTAGATTTAATTAACTTCAAAGTCCTGCTTTGGATTCTTTATTTTCAAATTGGTTTGCTTGACTAGGAGTGAGATCTCCTCAAATTTATCATAAGCATCATATGGGTGACTAAGCATTATTCTGTTGAATACCTCAGTCAAGTGAGTATACAAGTCTTGCTTGATGGTGCTTCCATTATCACGAGCTTACTTCAGCTGTTACTTAATGCGTTCCAAAGTATCAATACTTACGCTGCTCATATTTTATTTTCAATTATATTGCTATTGTAAATTTAAATATTTCCCACTTTAATGTGCCGAGAGGGGTTTTGGGGTTTTGGGG